GTTAAAAATTAATTGTCTGTTTTATAAATTAAAATTAAATTATATAGTTAATTTCTTCTAATGAAAACGAAGTATTGCTTTAATTTCTCTTATTTTACAGATAAATAGCATTAACAATTAAATTTGATGAAAAAATAATAATAAATAAGTAAAATGTCGTTAAAACTGGTTTAAATAAAGATTAAATAATTAACAAAAATTATCACAAAACATCAGTTTCATTAAAAAAAAATTAGATTGCAACAAGCTGAAGTAAATTTATAAAAAAAAATTTCATAAAAAGTGAATTTTAAATTACTAGATTATACCATTATAATAAACTTGAGAAGAATTACAATCAAATTTGATTTCTTTAAAAAAAATATGCTTATGCTTTTATAGGCTTTAAGCCAAAATCAGATTTCTTTACAGTAACGAGCAACTAAATCCAACATGAACATTTGGCACAAGTTGCCAGTATTATTATGATAGTTCGTTACAATAAATAATAATAAAAGTATAATTAATGATGTACAATGTATATATTTATTGAAATTGTATAGTATAATTTTCCTATTGACTAAATAAAAAAACATTTTCATCAGGTAAAGAGAAGAATGAAGATCGCTTTCCATTCGGATTTGTCTGATTTAAAAAATCGAGAAAGAATTATTTACTCGATATTTTAATAAATAAGAATATTTAACATTACAATTCGTTATATTTTCGGATATAACAATACTATTAACTTGCAGTATAGATTTTTTTTTTTATCATTTTGGTGATTCTACTTCACTTTTAGTTTGACGAGGTGTGCTCAGTATTCTGTTTTCATTTTTCTTTTGAAGATATAATATTGGAAATAGAGAAATATGTTGTTCATACAAATGGAGACAAAAATTGATTGAGAATTTTGTAGGTATGTGATATATGACAATTTCGTGATTTGATTTTTTTGAAAAACAATAAAAGCAGAGAAAAATGTGATAAAAATTTATTTTCTAATTTCTTTGAAATTTGTTTTAATGATTTTAAGAGACACTATATTCAAAAGGTTTATGAAAACAAACATTTTTAGAAAAAAAGTGAAATAATTTTATAGAATTAAATAAAGAAACGAGAATATTTCTGCTTTATGAATTCCTTCATAAAATGTAATTCACCGACCCACTTGAATTCTGAGAGTTACATTTCGAATTCAAGTCTACTATTTTATTTTATACACCACTGCTCAGCTTTCTTGCTTTACTCAAAAGAAGGACTAAATAAGCATACGGATGTTGGTTTTTTGTCACGTAGATAACGACAGTATCCTACTAGACGGAATAGGAAAGCTCGAGATTGGTCTAAGGGTAACCAAAGTGGCTTGCAACTTCAAGAGTAGAATTTCTGAAGAGATAACATTATTCGCCGACGACAACAGTTCACTTTATCGTCAACGTTCGCCATAGTTCGCGTTAACGTAGTTGACGCTGTAAACATTTGTACCTCGTTATATGAGTTATTCACTTGAATTTAGTAGAATTTTACAGATTCTGGACCTCAACGACAGGATTTCATCATCTTATACTGATCTTATCCTTTTACTTTCAAATTCCAAATTGACTCTTATTTTATACGGACTTTACGGACCAAAAATTAAAAATTACGGACCATTTACGAATTTACTGACAAAAATATAACCAGCCCGAGTCAAAGAAGAGAGATTTTAATATAACTAAAACTGTAAATTAAATTTTTCGTACCTATAAAACATGAAGATATCGATGACTCTGAGTCTTCGACTCGAAGTAATCGATATCTTCATGTTTTATAAATAATTAAACATAACCGAGTGATAAGAAATTTAATTTATATTTACAAGAATTTTTAACTAAAATTCTTCTTTAAATCGATTATTTTGAATAATTTTCGAAAAAGTTCTTTGAAAAATTTCAAATTCATTTCTTTACAATATTCAATTTTACGAAATTTCAATTATTAAATTCTTCAATTAAATAAATATTAGAAAATAAAAACTTAAAATAATATAAAAAAAAAATTCAATTAAACTTTTTCAAAAAAATAAATTTCAAAATTCACGCTATATATTGCTTTCAATATTCAATTATTATCTAAAATTTGAACTGAAATTAATTTTTTAAACAATTTTTATTAGAAAATTCTACTAGAATTCAATTATTTAAATACAAATAAAATGCAAATAAATAATTTATTGAATAATTGAATGTTTCTTAAAATTCAATTCCCCTAAAGAAGCGTTATTAACAAATTTTCAAATAATTCAATTCCATCAACGAATTTTAATAAAATTTTTAAGAATAATTACATTTATCGAGAAATTTGAATAAAATTGTAATAAAAATAATTGAAATTCTGCAACGAGTTTTATTATTTGTGAAAGTAATTGAATTCCAAAGAAGAATTTTATTACTTTTGGACAATATTGCATTTTTGAGAAGAATATTATAACTCTTGAAAATAATTGAATTTTTTCAATAATTTATAACTTTTAAAGAATTAAATTTTTTTTTGTGTTTTTAACTAAACATACATATTCTGTAAATCCATTAATTTTTAATAATTTTTGAAAAAGTTCGTTAAGAATTTTTAAATTCATTTGTTTACAATTCAATTTTACAAAATTTCAATTATTCGTAAATTCTTCAATTCAATGTTATATTAGATAATAAAAACTTTAAATTTTAAATAATTTTTAAAAAAATCCGCAATTAAAGTTTCTAAAAAAAATTAATTCCACAGAATAGATAAAAATATGAAAAATTCAAATTTTCAAAGATTTTAATCTAAAACCTTTTCAAAATTCAATTATTTTAAAAAATTTACGGTCTAATGCTTTTGAAATTCAATTATTATCTAAAATAATAATAATTGAATTCTTAAGAAGAATTTTATTATTTTTAAACAAATAATTAAATTTCTGTGAGGGATTTTATTATTCTTGAAAACAATTGAATTTCAAACAATAATTTTTAACATCTCTAAAATTAAAAATTTTTTTAGTGTTTTTAACTTAAATTTTTCTATAAATCCATTGTTTTTAATAATTTTTAGAAAAATTTTTCTGAAATTTTAAAATTCATTTGTGTTTAACTCAAATCCAATTTTAAATCAATGTTTATGAGAAAATTCTACTCGAATTCAATTATTTAAATACAAAAATAACAATTTATTAAAAAATTGCATGTTTCTTAAAATTCAATTTTCATAAAGAATTTTATCTTTAAATTTTTAAATAAACTGAATTCTTTTGACGAATTTTAATAAAATTTTAAAGAATTTTTTCGTGGAATTCAATTAAAATTGCATTAAAAATAATTGAAATTCTGCAATGAGTTTTATTATAATTCCTAAATTTGAATTCTTAAAAAGAATTTTATTATTTACGAAAATAATTGAATCCCCGTAAAAATTTTATTATTTATGAAAATAATTGAATGCTTGCGAAGAAATTTATAAAAAAATTTGTAAATAATGAAATTCCTGTGAAATTTTTATTATTTTTTTAAAATAATTGAAAAGTTTGCGTAGAATTTTATTAAATTTTTTGAAAATAATTGAATTTCGGAATAGAATTTAATTATTTTTTACAAATAATTGAAATTTTAATGAGAATTTTTAAAAATTTTTTGACACAATTGAATTTTTGCGAAAAATTTTATTACTTTTGAAAATAATTGAATTTCTGCAATTATGCATATTTCTTAAAATTCAATTCTTATAAAGAATTTTATCTATTTTTTCGGGGAATTCGATTAAAATTCGATTAAAATTGTATTAAAAAGAATTGAGATTGTGCAATGAGTTTTATTATTTATGAAAATAATTGAATTCATAAAAAGAATTTTATTATTTACGAATATAATTGAATCCCCGTAAAAATTTTATTATTTATAAAAATAATTGAATGATTGCGAAGAAATTTATGAAAAAAATTTGTAAATAATTGAATTCCTGTAAAAATTTTTATTATTTATGAAAATAATTGAATGTTTGCGTAGAATTTTATTCAAATTTTTTTTTATAATAGAATTCTTTTGGAAAATTTTATTGTAATAGTAGATATTGAAAATTATTGAATTGAGGAAAATTGTTGACAATGATTGCGAAGAAATTTATAAAAAAAAAAGAATTTGTAAATAATGAAAATCTTGTAAAAATTTTTATTATCTTTTGAAAATAATTAAAAGTTTGACTAGAATTTTTCAAAATTTTTTTTGAAAATAATTGAATTCTTTTGAAAAATTTTTGAAAATAATTGAATTTTAGAGAAGAATTATAATTATTTCTAATGATAATTGAAATAGTGATGAGAATTTTTAAAAAAATTTGAATATAATTGAATATCTGGGAAGAATTTTATTTACTTTTGAAAATAATTGAATTTCTCCAATCGTTTATGTAATTTCTCTAAAATTATCCAAATTATATTGTACAATTTACGAACTTTTCATTTTTTTTTTCGAATCAAATTACGACGGACCTTGCGGACCTTTTTTCAAAATAATATGGACTTTTACATTTTAAGTTTTTATTTTATTTTTATTTTATTTTTTTATTTTATTTTTATTTTAAGCAAAGTTACGGACTTTTAAAAGGGATTTACGGACCTAGTTCGAGTCCTGAATATTAAAACATACATTCAGTGTTTTCGGTTTTTAAGGACGGATTCTAATTTCAAATTCTTCGCGTATATTTTTTTTAGGAAGGTCCTTTCACTTATATTTGTTTCTATTTTCTGACTTGTGAAACTTTCTTCATAAACGTATAAAATAATAAGTTTATGGACATGATTAATTAAAAGTTTAATTAGAATAGTTTTTCAATTATTTCGCTCATGAGTTTTTAGTAAACGTAAAAGATCCTATATTTATGACATTAGACAAAAAACAAAAAAGTTGCTATATATAAATAAAATTTAGAGTTTGATTTTATTTTTGTTTCCTTTAAAAAGCATGTGCCAGGAAAGCGCTTTAAGGATGATATTTCGCTCTGCTTACCTTCAACGAACAGGAAGTACCCATCTGGATTTTTGGCAAGAATTCGAAGTGCTTTAACCGCCATTTCGGCAAGGGAAGGATCGCCAGTGCCGTTTGTGTTTCGATCAACCTCAAAATCCATATGTGAATATGAAAATAGACCTGGAATTATTGAAATATCGTAAATTATGAAAACATATAGTTATTACATTGGAATTAATTAATTACAAAGTTCAATAATTATCTACAATTAACAGTGCAGTAATTGACAGTTGAATATCAGTCGATAATTAGATATATGTACAATTATTTATTAGAAAATGATAGGTACATTTTATCAGCAATTGAAAAATAGATATTATGAAAATCATGATTTAATTAACAACACTAATTGTATTAGGTTAAGTAGAATGTTTACATTGCTCCTGGAAACTAGGTAGAATGAGAGAGTTTAAAATTGGATAAAGAAAAATAGTTCTTTCTTTTTGTTATTCTCTTTTGCAGCATTTCTTTGAAAAGTTTCAGTCGCGGTAATTCAACTTGATATTCAGCGGTTCGTTTTAATATTCATTTGTTCATTTCACCGCTATGTAGTTGAACAATTCTAACGAAAAAAAATTTCTACTAGAGTTCCCAAATTTTCGTAATTCTTAGTCTCATTTTTGAATCCATGAATTTTATAGTACGTGCTTTATACCGTTAAAGGAAATAAACTGAACCAATCTATTTTGTTAGTCTATATAATGTTGTATACTTGTACCATATAAACTTTTAATGTACACGTAACTCTTCATGAGTCAGTATTTACAGTCTTTTGTAAACATAAAGCTGCACTTTTGCTCTTTACTTTTTGTGGTTCTTATTAAACTGTTAATTAATTTATTAATAAAGATTAGATTTTTTATCAATTAATATTGCAGGGCTCGAACTAGGTCCGTAAATCCCGTAATAGTCCGTAACTTTGCTTTAAGTCCGTAAAAGTCCAAAAAGTCCGTAATTTGATTCAAAAAGCATGAAAAATTCGTAAATTGTACGATATAATTTAAATAACTCTAAAAAAAATAACGATTGATTGCAGAAATTCAATTATTTTCAAAAGTAATAAAATTCTTCGCTGAAAATTAAATTATTTTCAAAAATTTTCCTCAATTCAATAATTTTCAATAACTACTATTTTCATAAAATTTTCCAAAAGAATTCAATTATTTAAAAAAAATAAAAAAATTTAATTAAATTCTACACAAACTTATAATTATTTTCAAAAAATAATAAAAATTTCACAGGAATTTCATTATTTACAAATTTTTTTTATAAATTTCTACGCAAATATTTAATTATTTTCATAAATAATAAAACTCATTGCACAATCTCAATTCTTTTTAATACAATTTTAATCGATTTCCCGAAAAAATTCTTAAAAATTTTAATAAAATTCGTTGAAAGAATTCAGTTATTTAAAAATTGATACATAAAATTCTTTATGAGAATTGAATTTTAAGAAATATGCATAATTGCAGAAATTCAATTATTTTCAAAAGAAATAAAATTCTTCGCAGAAATTCAATTGTGTTAAAAAATTTTTAAAAATTGTCATTAAAATTTCAATTATCTTTAGAAATAATGAAATTCTTCTCCGAAATTCAATTATTTTCAAAAATTTTAATAAAATTCTACGCAAACTTTTTAATTATTTTCAAAAAATAATAAAAATTTCACACGAATTTCATTATTTACAATTTTTTTTTTCATAAATTTCTTCGCAATCATTCAATTTTTTTCATAAATAATAAAATTTTCACGGGGATTCAATTATTTTCGTAATTAATACAATTCTTTTTAGGAATTCAATTATTTTCATAAATAATAAAACTCATTGCAGAATTTCAATTTTATTCTTAATACAATTTTAATCGAATTCCTGGAAAAATTTTTTAAAAATTTTATTAAAATTCGTCAAAAGAATTCAGTTATTTATAAATTTAAGGATAAAATTCTTTATGAGAATTGAATTTTAAGAAACATGCAATTATTAAATATTTATTGTTATTTTTGTATTTAAATAACTAAATTCGAGTAGAATTTTCTCATAAACATTGATTTAAAAATGGATTTCAGTTAAAATTTTAGAAATTTAATTTGAATTTTAAAAGCATTAGAGAGATAATTTTTAGAAATAATTGAATTTTGAAAAGGTTTTAGATTTTAAAATCTTTAAAAATTTGAATTTTCATATTTTTAACTAAAAATTTTGTAGAATTAATTTTTTTAAGAAACTTTAATTGCCGATTTCTTTTGAAATTATTTAAATTTTTATTTTCTAATATTTATTTAAGTGAAGAGTTTACGAATAATCGAAAGTGTACAATAAATTAAATTGTAAACAAATATGAATTTAAAAATTTTTAAAGAAATTTAATTATTTTCAAGAGTAATAATATTCTTTGGAAAAATGAAATATTGTTCAAAAGTAATAACATTCTTCTTAGAAATTCAATTATTTTCACAAATAATAAAAAAATTTGCAGAATTTCAATTATTTTGAATACAATTTTAATTCAATTTCTCGAAAAATGTAATTATTTTTAAATATTTTATTAAAATTCGTTAATAGAATTAAATTATTTGAATATTTGTTAATAACGCTTCTTTAGGGGAATTGAATTTTAAGAAACATTCAATTATTCAATAAATTATTTATGTTTGTATTTAAATAATTGAATTCTAGTAAAATTTTCTCATAAAAATTTATTAAAAAATGAAGTTCAGTTAAAATTTTAGATAATAATTGAATATTAAAAGTAATATAGATTGAATTTTTACAAATAATTGAATTTTAAAAGCATTAGAACGTAAATTTTTAGAAATAATTGAATTTTCAAAAGGTTTCAGATTAAAATATTTAAAAATTTGAATTTTTCATATTTTTAACTGACAATTCTGTGAAATTATTTTTTTTTTGGAAGAACTTTAATTGCGGATTTTTGTTGGAATTATGTAAATTTTTTATTTTCTAATATTTATTTAATTGAAGAATTTATGAATAATTAAAATTTAGTAAAATTCAATTGTAAACAAATGAAGTTGAAAATTCTTAAAGGAATTTTTTCAGAAATTATTGAAAATAATATGGATTTATAGAAGATATTTAGTTAAAAACACAAAAAAAATTTTTCAATTTTGTAAAAGTTGCAAATACAATTATTTCCAATAGTAATAAATAATAATATTCTTCGCAAAAATTAAATATTGTTTAAAAGTAATAAAATCCTTCTTAGGAATTCAATTATTTTCATAAATAATAAAAATCTTTGCAGAATTTCAATTATTTATTTATTTTTAATACAATTTTAATCGAATTTCTCGAAAAATGTAATTATTCTTAAAAATTATATTGAAATTTGTTGATAGAATTTAATTATTTAAAAATTTGCTGATAACGATTTTTTATGGGAATTGAATTTTAAGAAACATTCAATTATTCAATAAATTATTTATTTGCATTTTATTTGTATTTAAATAATTGAATTCTAGTAGAATTTTCTCATAAGAATTTATTAAAAAATGAAGTTTAGTTAAAATTTTAGATAATAATTGAATATTAAAAGCAATATAGCGTGAATTTTTAAAAATAATTGAATTTTGTAATTAATTTTTTTGAAAAAGTTTTATTGATTTTTTTAATTATTATTTTAAGTTTTTTTCCAATATTTTTATAATCGAAGAATTTTCGAATAATTGAAATTTCGTAAAATTTAATATTGTAAACAAATTAATTTGAAAATCGTCAAAGAACTTTTTTGAAAATTATTGGAAATAAATATAAAAAAATAAATAATGAAATAAATATAATTAGAAATAATAATTCTTGTAAATAATCATTGAATTGTAAATAATTTTTTCACTCGGTCATCTTTATAATTATTACTCGGAGTTATTGATATCTTCATGTTTTATAGTTATGAAAAATTTAATTTATAGTTTTAATGAAAATTTCTCTTTTTTGACTCGGACTGGTTATATTTTTCTCAGTAAATTCGTAAATGGTCCGTAATTTTTAATTTTTGGTCCGTAAAGTCCGTATTGTTGAATACTTTCACTGGTTCGAGCCCTGATATTGTAAATGGTTGTCTTTATTTTGCTATCCTTTTAACTAATTTTCTTAATTATAAGTTCAACAAAATCTAAAAGAGAAACTACATTATTATCACTTTCTTGAAGTTTATCTTTTCCAAAATATGGGTTATTATCCAACAATTGAAATAACGAAACTAATCTAACTAAAATAATTTTAAAAATTAAATTATTAAAGTCATAAGGAAATTGCGGAACAGAAGGAGACAAATAATTAGAAAAGTTAGGAGAAATGTCAGAATGAATAATACATTACCCAACAAATGATTCACTTTTCTTGGATCGACTTTATCGAATTGTTCCTTGTTTGCCACGTATTCGGCGGGAAGATTACGAAGTCGTCGGTTTCTCGACCACTCTTCGATTAGATTTCTACCATCAAGGCGTCTACCCTCCTTTTCAGGCTCCTCTGGATCCAATGCCACTTTTGGAACGAAATGCCTTCGACCGCCACCCAACACCACCTGGTATGGAAATAATTGACACGTTTTACTTTGGAGCCACACTTTTCAAGGAACCTAGTTGACTCGAAATTGGAAACTTTCAAAGTTTCCAACTTTAACGCTTATTATTATTATTATTATTATTAAAGGTTATTTTCATAAAATTTCACGAAAAACTCCAAATTGCGGAGTTGAAAATATAATTAAAAAAAAATTCTCAATATTTAAAATGCAAATATTTTTTTACGATTAAAGAAATATTTAATTAGTTTAATATCATACTTTATTACTTTTTCTTAAAATATAGAATAAAGAATTTCTTGACAATTTTTTAAGAATATTTAACGGGAAATAAAAAACGACTTATTATAGACTTAAAGAATGTGTAATTTAATAAAAATTCTTTGAATGTATCCACTGTGAAATTTTTAATTTAGTGAGAATCTCTTGAAAAAAAATGTAAATCTCTACTTTATAAAGCGTCGTAAAAAATTTAACGTGTAACTGAATTACAAGCACGACGGGATATTTTGATGCAAATGTAGTTTTATACGAAATTTTCCGTTGAAATTTGCGAATTCTTTACACGTTGTTTCGTATGTTTTATATATATTTTGTGTGATCTAAGAAATAGTAGCATATGTTAAAATGAATAAAAAATATATTTTTTCTTCTTCTTTTGAGAAGAAGGATATTTCAAATTCCTTCGTGTATAAAGGGGGAAAGTAAATTTTTAATTTTAGATGATGAAGCTAGAAATAGAAGAGTAGAAGAGATTTTATAAATTCTTTTTCTTTTTTTGCATAAGGGAGTAAATTTAATTAAAACCGATGTTGATGAACATAATTTTATAAAGATCAGTAACTTTCGAAAACTAATTTTAATTCTTAAAGCTTTGGCTTAAATAGCATTATCTCTCTCGTTTATTTTGCGTGAGAATTTCACATTTTAATCTCTTACATCACAAAGAAAAGAAAATCTAATAATCAACTTGCGGTTGGATATACTAATAAAGATACTAATCGCATCTGAAAATAAGATTCACTTCATTATGAAAGTCATTTTAGAAAGGAAATTTCAAATAAATAGAAAAGTTTAAATTTTCCTACTTATTTTATGCTTTTTCCAATAATATATATTTAACTGTATTTTGTATTTTCTGCATCAGTTCCAATGTTTTCTTGATGGAAGTATTCATTATTCTTAAATTTATAATAATTAAATTTTCATAATTTGGTGAATTTTAGAGAAATTACAAATGATTGCAGAAATTCAATTATTTTCAAAAGTAATAAAATTCTTCGCAAAAATTTAATTATCTTCAAAAATTAAAAAAAAAATCTTGTCAATATTTCAATTTACTTTAGAAATAATAAAATTCTTCTCCGAATTTCAATTATTTCCAAAAATTTTCCTCAATTCAATGATTTTCTATATCTACTATTTTAATCAAATTTTCTAAAATACCTAATTCAATTACAGTCAGGTCTCGCTAAGTGTCGTCACTGGGAATTTTTTGAGACCGTCTGTCTCAGTAAGTGTCAGTGGCCTAAGCCACGCCCCTTTAATAAAAGTGGCCATTTCATTGGTTTATGTTGCAAACCGGTTTGGGGAAGTCCATTTTTAGCATTGGAGAGGGTAAAAAAAAGTGGGAAAAGTGACACTTGTTGGGTCTTGAACGATGACACTTTGTGAGTCATGACACTTACTGAAAACGACACTTGGCGAGACCTGACTGTATTTGGAAAAATTTTATTAAAATTCAAAGCAAACATTTAATTATTTTCATAAAATAATAAAAATTTCATAGAAATTCAATTATTTACCATTTTTTTTTATTTTCTTCGACAAAATTTAATTATTTTCAAAAATAATACAATTTGTACAGGGATTCAATTATTTTCGTACATACTAAAATTTTTTTAGAAACTCAATTATTTTCATAAATAATAAAACTAATTGCAGAATTTCAATAATTTTTAATCAAATTTTAAGCAAATTCCTCGAAAAATGTTAATATTCTTAAAAATTTTATTAAAATTCGTCAAAAGAATTTATTTGTTTAAAAATTTGTTGATCAAATTCTTTAAGAGAATTGAATTTTAAGAAATATTGAATTATTCAATAAATTATTTTTTTTTATTTTTAAATAATTGAATTCTAATAGAATTTTCTAATAAAAATTGATTTAAAAATTAATTTCAGTTAAAAACAAATGAATTTCAAAATTCTTAATTATTTTTAAAATTCTTTATTTATTTTCAAAAAATTATTAAAAACAATGGATTTATAGAAAAATTTTAGTTAAATACATACACTTAAAAAAATCTTAATTTTAGAGAAATTTAAAATTATTGTATAAATTGAATTGTTTTCAAGAGTAATGAAATCCCTTGCAGAAATATAATTATATGTTTAAAAATAATAAAATTCTTCTTAAGAATTCAATTATTCTTTTTATAAATCGTAAAACTTATCGCTGAATTAAAAATCGTAGCAAGACTTTAATTATTTAAAAATTTTGTTGATCCAATTCTTTATGAGAATTGAATTTTAAAGAAATAATGAATTATTAAATAAATTATTTCTTTTTCTTTTTAAATAATTGAATTCTAGTAGAATTTTCTAATAAAAATGTATTTAAAAATTAATTTCCGTTAAAATTTTAGATAATAATTGAATATTAAAAGCAATTAATTTTTTTAAATGAAATTTAATTATATGTTGAAAAATAATAAAATTCTTCTTAAGAATTCAACTATTATTATTTTAGATAATAATTAAACTTTAAAAGCATTAGAACGTAAATTTTTAGAAATAATTGAATTTTAAAAATGTTTCAAATTTGAATTTTTTATATTTTTAAGTTTTAAATAACAATTCTGTGAAATTATTTTTTTTTTTAAAACTTTAATTGCGGATTTTTGTTGAAATTATTAAAAATTTTTATTTTCTAATATTCATTTAATTGAAGAATTTACGAATAATTGAAATATTGTAAAATTGCATTGTAAACAAATGAAATTGAAAATTCTTAAAGAACTTTTTCAAAAATTATTAAAAATAATATGGATTTACAGAAGATGTTTAGTTTAAAACACGAAAAAAATTCAATTCGTTAAAAGTTATAGATTATTGAAAAAATTCAATTATTTTTAAGAGTAATAATATTCTTCACAAAAATTAAATATTGTTCAAACGTTATAAAATCCTTCTTAGGAATTCAATTATTTTCACAAATAATAAAACTCGTTGCAGAATTTCAATTATTTTTAATCAAATTTTAATCAAATTCCTCGAAAAATGTAATTATTCTTAAAAATTATATTGCAATTTGTTGATAGAATTCAATTATTTAAAAATTTGTTGATAACGATTCTTTATGGGAATTGAATTTTAAGAAACATTTAATTATTCAATAAATTATTTAGTTTTGTATTTAAATAATTGAATTCTAGTAGAATTTTCTTATAAACATTGATTTAAAATTGAATTGAAACTTTTTCAAAAATTATTAAAAATAGTGGATTTATTGAAGATGTTTAGTTAAAAACACGAAAAAAAAATTCAATTCCATAAAACTTATAAATTATTAAAAAAAATTCAATTATTTTTAAGAGTAATAATGTTTTTCGCAAAAATTAAAAATATTTTTTATTTTTAATTCAATTATTTTCACAAATAATAAAAATCTTTGCATCAATTATTTTGAATACAATTTTAATTCAATTTCTCGAAATATGTAATTATTCATAAAAATTTTATTAAAATTCGTTGATGGAATTAAATTATTTGAAAATTTATTGATAACGATTTTTTATGAGAATTGAATTTTATGAAACATTCAATTATTCAATAAATTATTTATTTGCATTTTATTTGTATTTAAATAATTGAATTCTAGTAGAATTTTTTAATTCAATTTGATTTAAAAATTAATTTTAGTTAAAATTTTAGATAATGATTGAATATTAAAAGCAATGTAGCGTGAATTTTTAAAAAATAATTGAATTTTGAAATTAATTTTTTTAAAAAAGTTTAATTGAATTGTTTTTATATTATTTGAAGTTTTATTTTTCTAATATATATTTAATTGAAGAATTTATGAATAATTAAAATTCGTAAAATTGAATATTGTAAAGAAATGGATTTGAAAATTGTCAGAGAACTTTTTGGGAAATTAATTGATTTAAAGAAGAATTTTAGTGAAAAATTCTTGAAGATAATCCAAATTGAATTGAAGTGTTGAAAATAATTTTGAAGAAGTAAAATATTTTTATAATATAAAATAATTATTTTATCAATTTTCCATCTTCATGTTTTATAGTTATGAAAAAATTTAATTTATAGTTTTAAGTAAAATGTTCTTTTATTTGTCTCCGGACTGGTAATTTGTCTTGTCTTAATTCTTTTAAATAAATATTCTTTTATAACTTTTGATATTCTTATTGACATATCTTAAATAATATTTAATATATTTAATATATTTATTATTTTAGTTGTAACAATTAGGTCTAGTTGTCTATTATTAAAATTTATTAAATATTCTTTAATGACAAGGAAGTTTATTAACTTAATTAAAAAATTAATAAAGCTAGTGTGTATTATTTTATCAGAAGATTAAAATCTCTCATTTATGCGGCATTCATATATTTTACAAATGCGAACTTCGTGAAGCAACTTTGCAACTGCAAAGTTTGTGTCATGCACTAAACAAAAACTTTTCTATATCAACTTTGTTCGATGCAAGCTTCTAGTTACTCTCTGTTTAAAATTCCTCTTGCTTCTATTTGACAATTCATTAAATATTATCAAAAAGTATTTTCTAATTGCCGTATAGGTATGTATCTTGACAATTTATCTCGACCATTAAAACTTTTATGTTGAATCATACACTGAATATACAATTTCTTCAAAATAACTAAGATAATTTTATTTCTGAAAATCAAAACGTTTCCGGATATTATGTAATTTTTCCAAAAAGTAAAAATAAGAAATGATTTTTACTTTATGAATGGTTAATTTAATAAATATTTGAAGGGAAAAAGAAAAATGTAACTTACATTAATGCTTCTGCCGGGCTCTTCCTCTAGAAGTTGACGAGCAATATCTTTACAAGTTGTTCTAGCTGCTGCTGGCACTTTACCATCATCTTCCCAATAACGACTTGGTGAATGTGCGTATAACGCAGCAGGTGTCGCATGCGTTACTCTCGTTGTTGTTACAAGACCTGTGGATTTGCCTATAAAGCAAAAATAATATTTTAACACATAAAACAACTTTTGCGTAAATATTCTCTTTGGATAAAAACGAGCACACATCTATTTTTATCATCTAAACATAGAAAATATATTGCGTGTAAAAGTTATTATTTTCTGATGAAAATCGGTAAAAGATTCATAATATAAAAATCCATTGATCTCTGTAATAACTGAAGAGCGTATAAAAATATTAGCTGGCAATGTCTATAATCCGTTGAATAGAGTTTCCCCCCCCCCTCCAGAAAACAATACTTATACTCTAACATAAATTCATCACTACTATATTTATAATAAAAATTCAATAATTTATCTTGTACGATAAAAATAGTCACTTTTGCAAAATTTATACGTTGTCAAATATTATACGAAAATCTGTGTCACGTAAGAAAAAAAAATCAGATAATTAGATGAAATTTCAACAACAGGGTCACCAGAAAGATTTAATTCTTTTTCCCTAACATTTACCTGATTGCCAAAATTTTTCCTGACTTATTTTAATTTTTTCCCTGACACTGAAGAATATTCTGATTCACTCCATTATTAAATACTCAAAAAAAATGTTCTATTACATTTATTTACAAATTTCTTCAAAAGAAAGTTTATTCGAAAATATCAAAAACTTCTTTTTTAAATAAATATTTAATCACTATTATCTTTCAATAGGAATTAAGATTTTCAAATTCAAACCTTCTGAAATTCAATAACTTTGGAGAATATTTATTATAAAACATAAAGATCACTCCGAATTGAAGACTCGATTCCTTCATGTTTTATAATTTTAAGATGATCAGAGTGATAAAATCATTATTTCATAACATAATAATATTGTAACTATAAATTTAAATTTTCCAAGATTCTAATTTGTACCCTTTTCAAAATTCAATTATTTCTAAAAATTCACGGCTATAATGCTTCTAATATTCAATTATAATTTTAAATTTTAAGTGAAATTCATTTTTTCATCAATTTTTATTAGAAATTTTTTTTCGAGAATTCAATTATTTAAATATAAAAATAAATAATTTATTTAATAATAGAATATTACTTAATATTGAATTTTTAAGAAGAATTTTATCAAAATTTTTAAAAATAATTAAATTCTTTAGGCGAATTTAAAAAAAAAAATTTTTAAATGCAATTTTCTAACATTTTATTTAAAATAGTATAAAAAATAATTGAATTTCTGTGACGATTTTTATTATTTATGGAAATAATTGAATTCTTGCAACGAATTGTATTAAACATTCTTTATAAAAAATTGAATTCTTGTGAAGAATTTTATTTGTGAAAATAATTAAATCCGGGAGAAAAATATTATTATTTATAAAAATAATTCATTTCTTGTGAAGAATTTTATTCCAATTTTTTTTAAATAATTAAATTTTTCAAAACTTTTTGAAAATAATTAAATTCTATTGATAAATTTCATTAAAAAATCCAAATTAATTGAAATCTGCCGAAGAATTTTATTAAATTTTTTTTAAATAATTGAATTTCTGTGAATATGTTTATTTTTTAAAAGAATTGAATTCTTGGGAAGAATTTTATAAAAATTTCTTAAATAACTGAATTGCTTTAAAGAATTTTATTTTTTACGAAATAATTGAATTCCTTCGAAGATTCTTACAAACATTTTTGACAATAATTGAATTTCTAGGAAGAATGTTATATTTTACGAAAATAATTTTATTCTACGACTAATTTTATTATAATTTTTCAAGTTTATAAAGCATTTTATCAAAATTTTTTTAAATAATTGAATTCTCAAGAAAAATGTTATTATTTATAAAAATAATTCATTTCTAGCGAAGAATTTTATTTCAATTTTTTTAAATAATTGAATTTTTCAAAATTTTTTAAAAATAATTAAATTTCATCGAGAAATTTTATTAACAAATTGAAAATAATTGAAATCTGACAAAGAATTTAAAAAAATTATTTTTAAAATAATTGAATTCCTGTGAAAATGTTTATTTTTGAAAAAAATTGAATTCTTGGGAAGAATTTTTATTAAAATTTCCCAAATAATTGAATTCCTATGGAAAAGTTTTATTTTTAAAATGAATTGAATTCTTTTGGCGAATTTTAATAAAAAAATTTATAAATAAGTACAATTTTCTATCATTTCATTTAAAATTGTATAAAAAATAATTGAATTTCTGCGACAACTTTTATTATTTACGAAAATAATTGAATTCCGAAGAAACATATTATTATTCATGAAAATAATTAATTTCTCGTAAAGATATTTATACAAATTTTTTTAAATAATTGAATTTTTCAGAATTTTTTAAAACTTTTTTAAAATAATTAAATTCTATTGAGAAATTTCATTAAAAAATTGAAAATAATTAAAATCTAACGAAGAATTTAAAAAAAATTTTCTTCAAATAATTGAATTCTTGTGAAAAATTTTATTTCTAAAATAAATTGAATTCTTTTGGCGAATTTAAAAAAAAAAAATTTAATAAGTGCAATTTTCTATCATTTTATTTAAAATTGAATTGAATTCTTAGAAAGAATGCTATTAATATTTCTTAAATAATTGAATTGCGTCGAAGAATTGTATTTTATGATTAATTTATTTATGATAATTTTTCAAATTTATAAAGCAGTTTATTATTTATAAAAATAATTGATTTCCAGCGAAGAGTTTTTTTCAAACTTTTTTTTTATTAAATAATTGAATTCCCATTAAAAAAATGTATTAATTGTGTGAATAATTGAATTTCTCTGAATTATTTTTTTCAATTCTCTATATTTGAATTCTTTCGAGAAATATCATTAAAAAATTAAAAATTATTGAATTGGTGCGAAGGAATTTATAAAAATTTGTCAAGTAATTGAATTCCTGTGAAATTTTTATTAAAATTTTGTTTAAAGAATTAAATTCTTTTGGAAAAGTTTATTAAAATTGAAGATATTTAAAAATAATTGAAATGAGGAAAATTTTTGAAAATGATTGAAATTTTGCCAAGTATTTTATTAAATTTTTCTACGAAAATAATTAAATTTAGGAGAAGAATTGTATTATTTATAAAGATAATTAAAATTTTGAAAAGAATTTTAAAAAATTTTTTGAACATAATTGAATTTATGCGAAAAAGTTTATCACTTTTGAAAATAATTGAATTTTTGTAATCAGTTCTTAAAATTTCTATTTAAATTCACTAAAATTTGAAATTGAAACCTTTGAAGTTCATCTATTTATATGAAGATTGTAAATTCGCAACTCTTTTGAAATCCAATTAATTTTGAAATTTTTAAGTAAAATTAATAAATTATTCATTAAATAATTTATAAGTAATAATTTTATGATATAGTTCTTGAAGAATTAAGTTATTTAAAAAGAAATTATTGTTAGAAATAGAAAAAAATTGAAGGGTTTGTATTAGAATTCTTGGCAATTTCATAAAGTTTATGAGAAAAACATAAAAGGCACAAAAATTCAGAAATTTTCTTATAAATTCTAAAAATTTAATTTTTTTCCAGTACTTTTAATAAAAATCCCTGACTTTTTCCTGATTTCCCTGAATTCCCTGACTTTCCTCACTTGTGGTAATACTGAACAAGAAGAAGATATTTACGAAAGTTTCTTGAAATCTCGACAAATCTGGAACATTTTATTTAACTATATTTGTCACTTGAAAGATATGGAACACTTGTAAATTTGCTCCTGGTGGGTTTAAATGAACAGCGTTGCCTAAATGCATTGAAAGTAGACTGCAGTTTACATCTACACTATATATATATGCACTCGAGGAAATATATACGACGAAAGGAGAAACTGTGGATGGAGTACTTTAGTCGTGAAATCAAATCGTGAATCGTATTTTAATTAGGAGTCGGCAATATCTTCTGCCACCCTTTTCAATCTTAAGAAATAAACGAGGTTGAAAAAGAGAGAGAGAAAGAGAGAGAGAGAGAGAGAGAATATTTAACTAGTATTAAAAAAATACGAATGAATGGTTTTCAACTCAAATATTTTCCTTCCAAGTTCTCTTTTTTCTCCTATTATTTAAATAAAAAGATTAAATGTATTTTGTTAAAAAAAAAAAAAAATAAAGACAAAAATAAATTCATTGACTTAATTTCAAATGAGACAAAAAAAAACAAATAGGATAAATTAATGAAGAGAGTAAAACTCAATAGTAATTGATAATCCTTACTGGAATTGTATTCATTGCAATGGATCAATAATATTCAAGGATCGCTTTGAGAGCAACTAATCCATTGATGTTAAAGGCAAAGCACATGTCTTGTCTGTCGAGAACAAAGAGAAAGCAATCGCCACCTCGAGAGTATTCAGTCGTCATTTTGTTTCAACTATACAGTTTAATGTCAAACATTAGTTTGTAATTTTGCAAATTTTCCTCAAATTTAATATTTTTCAATATTGCTAAAGAATTATTTCTATAAAGAATGATCAAGAAATTATCAAAAAGAATAAAATTGTTTATTATAAAACGGAAAATGTTGATTTGAAGATACAGTCGATAGATTAGTAAATAAGTTACACAGGGAGAAGATGAAATAAAAATATTGCAAACAAAAGATGACCGGAAGGCATTTATTGGATTAGGAATAAGGCAGCTTTTGAGCTTTCACGTCACATCAATCGATGCCGGCACAAAACATTCTGTGATTAATCAACAGAGCAATTCATCTTAGAGACTGAATTGAGGTGGCAGGTTTGATCTACTTTATCAGTTGAATGTACACGTAATTTGTGTTCCAAAGGAAAAACGTGATATGCTTTAATGAATCACGCAACATTCTGAACAATATCTAATTAATCAATTACAAATATATATATATATATATATATATATATATATATATATATATATATAAAACTAACTGACTCTCTGACTTTTCCCTGATTTCCAGGGAAAATTTTCACTTTTTCCCTGACCCTGAAAAACATCCATAACTTCTTTTTTAAATAAATAAATATTATTTATAAAATAAATAAATAAAT